ATATAAGGTACAGGGAGTAACGTGAGTATGCCAACTCAGTAAGTAACAACAATAAATAAAGACTGAGCAGTAGTGACGAGCAATAAAGCATATAACATTCTTATCGAAAAATCTCAGTAAAATACCACAGGCTTTTAAAATCAGGATTTGAATCAAAACATCTCGTTTAATCCAATTCCAGTAAAAATTATTTAAAGATATTTTTCAACAGTTTTCAGACAGAGAAAAAATGCAAAGGTGAGCAAAAATGATGAAATCATAAACAGTCCCTCGGGCAAAACATCACTCATATACAGCCCCTCGGGCAAAATATCACTCAAATACAGCCCCTCGGGCAAACCTCACAGTCACTAGTGCCACTCGGGCATACCTCACAATAACTCTTACCACTCGGGCATACCTCACAATCACTCATACCTCCCACTCACTCAGCACTTGGCACCCAGCACTCGCACTCAGTAGGTACCTGCGCTCACTGGGGGTGTGTACAGACTCCGGAGGGGCTCCTTCAGCCCAAGCGCTATAATCTGCATGGACAACTCACGTGCTGCACAGACGACTCACGTGCCATAATAATAAAGTATGTTGCAGGCGGGCAGCCCCGATCCACACTCATCCTCACAAATCAGGCCCTCGGCCTCACTCAGTCATAAACCTCTCAAGCCACTCGGGTATTTCAGTAAAATAGGGCATTCGGCCCAAAACATTTTATATGCATCAAAATAGAGTCGTAAAACTGAGTTATGCGGTAAACAAGTATAAACATGACTGAGTATATATGTTCAATCGAAAACAATGAGAAGATGGTAAGAAACAGCCCCTAAGGGTCCAAACAGCATTGGCGCAAGGCCCAAACATGGCATTCAGCCTAATTTACAGAAATTCCTTCTAAAACATATAAGTATCATATGGTTTCAATAAAGTATGAAACTTTACAGTTGCTACGGGACGGACTAAGTCACAAATCTCCAACAGTGCACGCCCACACGCCCGTCACCTAGCATGTGCGTCACCTCAAAGTAGTAAATGATACGAAATCTGGGGTTTCATACCCTCGGGATTAGATTTACAATCGTTACTTACCTCAAGCCGTGGAATTCTTATTCTACAATGTCTTTTCCTCGTGAATTGGTCTCCAAACGCCTCGAATCTAGTCATAAATAATTCGTTTCAGTCAATAAAATTCATTGTAATTAATCCCATAAGAAAATAATAATTTTTCATAAAAAAATCAAAAATTAGCTCAAATATCGCCCGTGGGGCCCACGCCTCGGAACTTGACAAAAGTTACAAAATCCGAAAGCCCATTCAACCACGAGTCTAACCATACCAATTTTACCGAAATCCAACCCCAACTCGACCCTCAAATCTTCAATTTAAACCAAAAGGGTTTTCAAATTTTTCCAACTCAATTCACCAATTAAATGATAAAAACAACCATGGATTCGGGTAATTTAACCAATATTGAGTTAAGAACACTTACCCCGTCGTTTTTTCTGAAAATCACCCAAAATCGCCTTAAATCCGAGCTCCAAATCGTCAAAACCTGAAAATGGGACTTACTCACTGCCCAGACTTTTCTTCTTCGCGAACGCGGTTAGTGCCTCGCGTTCGTGAAGCACAACATAACTCCCGTCCAAATTCCTCCTTCGCGAACGCGACATCACCCTCGCGTTTGCGAAGAACAAAATGCCTCTGCATCAATGCCTTCTACGCGAATGCGTCCAATCCATCGCGAACGCGATGCTTCGTATCCCCCTCACTATGTGAATGCGACACCTCCTACGCGAACGCGTAGACCAATTGCCTGGTATCCTCGGCTGCTTCCTCTCTCCTTCGCGAACGCGTAACACCCCTCGCGTTCGCGATGCACACCCAGTCCACCCTTCGTGAACGCGTTCTTCTCTTTGCGAACGCGAAGAGCAAATATTTCTAGCCTCTCAGTTCCTTTTCGCGAACGCGAGGCTCCACTCGCGAACGCGATGAAGGAAACCAGATGGTGCATCAGAAAAATTCCAGCAGAGTTCCAAGTCCAAAATCCAACCCGTTAACTATCCGAAACTCACTCGAGCCC